CGTAGAAAGTGGGCTTTAAAAGTATTAAAAGTTACTTATTCTATTTATAGTCACTTAGAAAATAAAAAATATATTTAGTATACAAAAATGACCCTGATGCTCCAAGCTAATTACATCTTAATTCAAAGTTACATTACACAGTTACTAACATCTTAATTCTTAGGTGGGAAAATAAAAGTCACGAAAAGAAAATTTTCATAGTCACACTACATACTAAGCGTTTCCCGTTTGTCATTTAATAATCTACGTCGACACTGTAATGTTGGAAGATTTATGAATAAAAAGCTATTAAAGTTTCGCTGGTAGTATAACGATACAAACTTGGTATATGTATACAGCCTTAAGAAGTAAATTCATATAAATTCATTCAGTTCGAACAACTCTTGAGTTGAGTTGTTTAAGTGTCTGAAACATTGTAGAAAATCTGTAATAATCTGCATGAGCGTCAGTTCGTCAAACTATCATAAATTTAATTATTCTAGTGAAACAAGGATTCTTCGTTTGGCTTTAATTCTGTTAGAGATTGAAAATTTTAATAAATTTATAAAATGAGCTTAAAAGGTGATACTATGCTTTTGAAACACTTGATTGACAATACCTCTACCCACAAAAAAAATTGTAAAAACAGTTAAGATGTTTGGAAGTGTCTTCTTTTAATCAATATTTCCTTTGTCGATATTAAATGTAATTGACAAAACAACTGTAGCTATTTACGAAAACGAGCACTGTAAGTTATGTGTGAATAATTAAATAATCTTAGCAGTTTGACAATATGATGAAAATTTTATTATACCTAAAAAGTATCCGGTAGAACATAAAAAAATCTGTCTTTTTCTATTGAGGTCGTTTTGCTAATGCTCACAAGTTCTCAAAAGATTTATGTTTAGGATGTTTAGAGCCCAATTACAATAAATAAATATATGCAACGACGAGACGTGTGATTTCTTAAACTGTTTAAATGTCACTTGAATAAATAACTTTACAAGAGTTGTGGACTGAATGCATTCCATAAATCTCAAATAGGTATACAACTATTCTTCATTGCTTATAACGTGAGCTCAAAAGCTGTTTTCTACTTTGGTCATTCCGCGCTCAAATGAATGGATTCTTTCACGTGAATTAAAAGAAATAATTTATGATGACGTTAAGTGAAATAGTATTCAACTCTTTACTCGAATTTATGTCGATTTATAACGATAATACACGATATCCTTTCATATTACATATATTTTTTACTTATGTAGGTCGTAGTGTCTAGATGTAGTCATGTAACTACAGATCGTACGCGACCTAGCTCGACCGGGGAAGTACCACCCTCTCATAGAAGATCGGCCTTAAGTAGCCTTCAATGGCTGCGTTTCATTCGATGAGTAAAAGAGGCGGTTGTCGTTTCCCTATTCCCACCTTTTCTTGTCTTTTCCTTATTCCCACCCCTCCCTATTCCTACAAAACCATGGTTAGCAACATATCCGCAACAGAGATGTTGCAGATGTACATGGACGATGGTTGCTCATGCCCACCAAGTAGACCGTCAGCTCGTTTGCTACTTTTTACATAAAAAAGTGATTATCAACTGCTGAGCCTACTGCATCACGGTTAAAAATACACTAAATTACATTTTAAACATATATTACCCTTGTATTTTTACGATTTTATTTGTAATTGTAATGCCATGACCATCGTAACCACAAAGTTTTAATTTTACTTGTGCAAAGCCATAATAGCCTTTAGCAATAATTACATGAAATAAAATCATGATTGGTAGGTGTAAACCACAAGACATTTAATTTGGGTACACCACATATTTTATTGACAGGCCTCTTTAGAATAGTATTTTTAAATTTTAGTGATAAAACTCGAGTAATTTACAAGGCGGTACATGAATTTCCTTTTATATGATTATATCACTGATATGTGCCTCATCATTTATTGTATTACATTTGTAACGATAGATTAATATTTACAAGATATTCTTTATACGATCTGTTCCAAAAAAAGTAGAACATTTTCTGAGCTAAATGCTAATAATATAACAAGCTCTTTCATCCTCCTCACACCACACATTAATAGCGGTAACGGAAGACTGGAAATAGAAAACATTAAAATTATTCATTCAACAAGTATGTGTAAGGACTTTGAGGCCTAGATCCAATTTGTTTGAGTAGGTTTAAGATTCTGAAAAGTTACGTTAATTAAACTACTCTCACCTACCTGCGGTCAATCCTCGCCTTGTTAACTACTGGCAAATCTGCTACGGGCTGCCGTGACGACGGATCCAATTCGCAAGTTTTCGATCCATAAACAATGATATTATTGTGAGAAAGATAGAGATGGTAGGATAACAGCAAAACAAGTAAACCATAGAATTAAAAAGCAGTGAGTAATTCGATTAAAATATTTATGTGGAAGAAAGTAACAAATTGGAAATAGAATTTTAAATATTAAGTGCGTTCGTTCTTTTATCCTACATTTGTTTTTAGGATAAGGAGAGAAATAAAAAATATAAAATTATAATCATTATGTAATTAACATAACATAACAAAATATAACGTATTAATTTAAAATGTATCTATACTATTTAAAATTTAAATTACTCACGCGTCTCATAGCGTTTAAACATAACTTAATAATATTCAAACAAGTAACAAATAATTATAAACAGCGATCACAATAGCGTCACTAATGAGTTGTTACTACACTGAGCGAAGAAGGAACAGTGACAAGAGGGTTGGCGCGCCATACTTTAAATCTATTAGCCTATTAGGTGTCTAACAACCTATTTATTTTAGTATATAACATTTTCTTTTCAGAAATACTACAGAAACTAAACATAAATTTAATTAAATCAAAGCCCTAAACCAAACGGTTCAGGTAATTAAAAAAAAGTCACGCATTAGAATACAATAATTGTTACAGAATAGAAAAACTGTCATAAACCCGATTTAAGATATTTCAATGTTACATCATTAATTATAATCTAAAATTAAAAGGAAATGATTTTACGCATATTAGTGTGAAATCTCAGGAATCTTACCTTAATTCTCTTAGAGAAGATTAATGTTATACTCTTGTTACAACACAATTAAGAACCCAAGAACTTTGTTTACTCCTGGTTAAACGTGTTAGATATTGTCAAAGATATGGCGAATAAAAGTTTAGAAAAACTTATAACTAACATGTATCATAGTGATCATAATTGATGAATATAAAAAGAGATTAAATTAAATAATTAAAGTTCGAACTTTTATTCGCAATTTACTTTATATTTCTGTATACTGCCATGTAAAAAGTTACCTTAATGTTATTCATAACATAATATGCTATTAAAAAAGAATAACTTTAGAAAAACAAATATCCTTAAACCCCAATAGTCAGACGACTTATTTTTTACGTATATTTGAATTTTAATGGATATTTTTCCTTCAGCGAATTTATCTCTAACTATACTTCATGCAATTCAACTACTGAAACTATTTAATTATGTTTCAGTATTATTAATTATGTATTTATTATTATATCTTCAATATTATACTAAGAATTTTTACTTTTAATAAAGACGTAGATTAAAGTTGAACGAAAGCAATATACATATATTAAGGTTTTTAAATAATTGTAACAATAAAAAAGTAACATTTAAAAATTACTTGAAACAAATGCATTATGTAATCGTGTTATATTCTTTGAAGAAATATAAAAAATATATTAAAAAGGTTAAATTAAATATTCGTTGCCTAATTACATAAGAGCCTTTATTTTAATTTCATCTAGATGGTGGAAATGAAGTTGAAAGAGGTGAGAGCACTATCTCAATACCAGTTTTTCACACTTTCCTCGAAGATTTCTAAATAAGAATTTGAATATCCTATGCTCATGAGGAAGCAGGAAACGTTTCATTACGTTCGGATGAGATGAAGATATACTAAGAAAGAATTGAAGCCCACCATACGTCTGTCCAATGATAGAAAGGATGTGCAGGAGTTAAAACTTGCAATTCCTGCTTACACTCTCCAGGTAACCTGGAGAATACCGAGAGGCTAGCTACTTTTCGCCTGTGCTCTAGACTGATAATATTGGCTTTACCAAGTTGTGGTCACCAACCTTTGGACCTTTTTGCACGACTATCCACTACGTCCAACGCCAGTATCTGGCAACCAGAACTATGTTTTGTATAAACAAAGAAAATTTCCTGAACTGAAGCACTCACGTACTTTTGCACAGATGCCGAATTTCTTTACAGTTTTATAAATTTTGGACTCACTAAATTGCCCAAGTGTCGAGATAACCTCAATACGTAATAAATGGAAGCTATCGGAAAATTACAAGGAAACATGATTAAAAGTTGAAGTCAATATGAAAAGATTTCTCTTGGCGGTGAAAAGACACGCTTGCGTTCAAGTGGCCCTAAATTATTATCACAGCCCATTAGGAGACTGCCTGAAGTGTCAAACTAGCAAGCTACTATGGCTCTCTTTTCAACCCTTATCAATCATACCATACCAGTCCACAACTTTCCTGTTAAAGCAGGTCCTTCATGTAGAACAACAACAGAGTTTCGGGAAGGTCAGATCCCTGAGGAAGCCCAGTATTGAAAGGACTCAGACAAGAAACTATTAATATTTCTTCATAGTTCCTGAGCCCTCAGATAAACAGAAATCCAGGCAATGAGACCAGGGAATACTGCATGGCTAGTAATATTACAAATAACGCAATATATATCTTATTCAGGTTACTGCAATTTTGGTGACTAAGTACAATATCAATTAAAAAATTCGCTCATTCGGCTAGCTATAATCCGTTTATCAATAAATCGTAGAAAAATATATAACATACAAAAAGATAAGATTTTTATATAAATATGATATAAAATGATGCCCACACCGACTTCGTTCCATTAGGCCGAGTTCCAAGTCGGCCATTAGGCCGCAACACGACTAAACATATATTTATCAGTAACAACAAAAAAACATACAATGTTTCGTTTTGTGCTAATACTGTCAGCAATGACGGTAGCCGTTATGGCTCATCCCACCAGGATGGTTCATCCCTCAGAGATGGCTCTTATTCTTGGAGAAGAAGAATTTGAGGACTACCTAGACAAATATCTAGCTATAGAAGAAGAGAATTGGATTAATGCTACTTCCTCTCTTCGCAGTGGTAAGCATTTCTAAGATCAAAGTCGTAATAATACATAACATCAAGCTTGAAATGTTGTAATCAATTTACCTAATTTTGTAACTCCAGGGTGTACTCTGAGAGTTAACGGAGACCTTGGTCAACCACAGCCTGTATATATCAGTAGAAGAACTAATAATTATTTAGCTGCAAGTGGAAACTCAGGTCAGATTCGACTCAGCGCCGGAGAAGAAGTGATCGTTTCCTGCCCAAACAACCAAGCTATTCTCCATCCGAACATCGTATCTACAGTTCATACCGCTGTAATTATTTAATTTTCAAATTAGCAGTTATCAATCACATTTTTTTTAAACAAATCTGCTTCTGTAATCACTAATCGTATCTGGCTTACTGACTGATGAATGATATCAAATCAATTGTACTCAACAGTTATACATTCATAAAACAGAGTAGACATATAAGTATTCTATTTTAAATAACACAAAATATATTAAAAATATTCAATATATCTTGCAGACTGCCAGGTGCGTTAGCAATAATTTATTTTCGGGAGCCGGATGGTTGAATGGTAACAGAGCTTTTGGTCAACTAACTTGTGCACGTCACCCTTTCTACCAAGCTCAGCAAACAAGTACAAGATGCTTCAACAACGGTGTTGTAATTCGGTATGCATTCATCTTTTCGACTGGTAATGACCATTTACTATATTGTAGTATATATACATATATTCTTAAAATTGCAGTGTGGGCTTTACTGTCAACAATGTATTTTATCCACTCTATCATTCCTGTTACAATGCAAACCGTATGGAAGTTTTATACGTATGGTATAACCAAAACGCTAACAATGCTGTGCATCAAACGGGAGTTAGTAGGCCAAGTTGGTTAGGTAAACAAACATTTATTTAAAATATTTATTGTTGATCCATAACAAAAGATATAAAAATAATGACATTGCTAAGTACTAGTTATATGTAAGTATTATATGAAAACTAAATTTCTAGCTGGAGGTTTCTTCCCTGGTGTCAACATCAACAACGTTTATACTCAAGTTAGCCAAAAGGCAGCTATCGCAAGACTAGTAGGAAATGCCTTAGCTGATAAATACGTTACGAACACCCAATTCCTTGCTCGTGGTCATCTTGCTGCTAAAAGTGACTACGTTTTCGCTACTGGACAACGTGCCACCTTCTTCTTCATCAACGCTGCTCCACAATGGCAACCCTTCAACGCCGGCAATTGGAATAATTTGGAACAGGTATTGATGTTGATTACATGATATAAAATACCATAATTATACCGCTTATTTATCACATGCTAAAGATATATTCTGAATAATTCCTACAGAATCTGCGAGCACGCATCGGTAGAGCTGGTTATAACACAGTAATTTACACTGGAACGTTTGGTGTCACCCAATTACGCAATTCTAACGGTCGCATGGTTGATATATATTTGGACAATAACAGAGTTCCCGTCCCTCAATTCTTCTATAAGGTAAAATAATTTAATAAAGATATCATCAGCTTTTATAATGATGCGTAGATATATGGTACTAATGATGGACCTTTATTAGGTGGTGTATGATCAATCCAGACGTCGTGGTACAGCATTCATCGGTTTAAATAATCCTCATTACACTCTGGCTGAAGCTCGCAGATTACAGTTCTGCACTGACCGTTGTCGTAATAACAATGCATTCAGCTGGATCAACTGGAGGCCTGATCGTGTGGACCTTGGTTATAGCTTCTGCTGTACGATCCCTGACTTCAGAAGAGTCATCGGTCATATACCGAACCTCGATGTTTCTAATGGTCTTCTTTCTTAAGTAATGAATGACGAAAAATAATATCAATATGCTAAAGTGATATTGAATAAAGTATTTTATTACTGAATTGCAATATTGCGTTCCATTTAATAATTTAAGATTGACACCAAATTTGAAAGGGATGTTTAAAGGACCAAATGTTATTTACGATTACGTAAATAGCGACTAAACCTTTTGACAATACTAACCATTAGCACTAAGATTATAACCACAGAAAGTGGGCTTTAAAAGTATTAAAAGTTACTTATTCTATTTATAGTCACTTAGAAAATAAAAAATATATTTAGTAGACAAAAATGACCCTGGCGCTCCAAGCTAATTACATCTTAATTCAAAGTTACATTACACAGTTACTAACATCTTAATTCTTAGGTGGGAATATTTTATATTCAATATTTTCGTAGTCACACTACATACTAAGCGTTTCCCGTTTGTCATTTAATAATCTACGTCGTCACTGTAATGTAGGAAGATTTATGAATAAAAAGCTATTAAAGTTTCACTGGTACTGTAACGATGCAAACTTGGTATATGTATACAGTCTAAGAAGTAAATTCATTCAGTTCAAACAACACTTGAGTTGAGTTGTTTAGGTGTCTGAAACATTGTAGAAAATCTGTAATAATCATGCATGAGCGTCAGTTCGTCAAACTATCATAAATTTCATTATTCTAGTGAAACAAGGATTCCTCGTTTGGCTTTAGTTCTGTTAGAGATTGAAAATTTAAATAAATTTATAAAATGAGCTTAAAAGGTGATACTATGCTTTTGAAATAGTTGATTGATAATACCTCTACCCACAAAAAATTGGTAAAAACAGTTAAGATCTTTGGAAGTGTCTATTTTTAATAAACTTTCCCTGTGTCGATATTATACAACGACGAGACGTGTAATTTCTTAAACGATTTAACTGTCACTTTAATAATAACTTTACAAGAGATGTGGACTGAATACATTCCATAAATCTCAAATAGGTATACAACTATTCTTCATTGCTAATAACGTGAGCTCAAAAGCTGTTTTCTGCTTTGATCATTCCGCGCTCGAATGAATGGATTCTTTCACGTGAATTAAAAGAAATAATTTATGATGACGTTAAGAGAAATAATATTCAACTCTTTACTCGAATTTATGTCGATTTATAATGATAATAGACGATATCCTTTAATATTATATAAATTATTTACTTATGTAGGTAGTAGAGTCTAGCTGTAGTCATGTAACTACAGATCGAACGCGGGCTAGCTCGACCGGGGAAGTACCACCCTCTCATAGAAGATCGGCCTTAAGTAGCCTTCAATGGCTGCGTTTCATTCGATGGGAAAGAGAGTCGGTCGACTTTTCCCTATTCCCACCTTTTCTTGTCTTTTTCTTATTCCCACTCCTTCCTATTCCTAAAAAACCAAGGTTGGCAACGCATCCTCAACAGAGATGTTGCAGATGTACATGGACGATGGTTGCTCATGCCCTCCAAGTAGGCCGTCTTCTCGTTTGCTACTTTTCACATAAAAAAAATTGATTATCAACTGCTCAGCGTACTGCACCATAGTTAAAAATACAATAAATTACATTTTAAACATATATTACCCTTGTATTTTTACGATTTTATTTGTAATTGTAATGACATGACCATCGTCACCACAAAGTTTTAATTTTACTTGTGTAAAGCCAAATAGCCTTTAGCAATAATTACATGAAATAAAATCACCATTGGTAGGTGTAAACCACAAGACATTTAATTTGGGTACACCACATATTTTATTGACAGGCCTCTTTAAAATAGTATTTTTAAATTTTAGTGATAAAACTCGAGTAATTTACAAGGCGGTACATGAATTTCCTTTTATATGACTATATCACCGATATGTGCCTCATCACTTATTGTATTACATTTGTAACGATAGTTAAGATTTACAAGATATTCTTTATACGATCTGTTCCAAAAAAAGTAGAACATTTTCTGAGCTAAATGCTAATAATATAACAAGCTCTTTCATCCTCCTCACACAACACATTGATAGCGGTAACGGAAGACTTGAAATAGAAAACAAGAAAATTATTCAATCAACAAGTATGTTTAAGGACTTTGAAGCCTAGATCCAATTTGTTGGAGTAGGTTTAAGATTCTGAAAAGTTACGTTAATTAAACTACTCTCACCTACCGGCGGTCAATTCTCACCTTGTTAACTACTGGCAAATCTGGCAAATCTTATTCGCAAGTTTTAGATCCATAAACAAAGAAATTATTGTAAGAAAGATAGAGATGGTAGTATGAGCGCGATTCCCATCGTCGTCTATAATTATGACTTTTATTAGTTCACTAATTCAAATGGTGAATCGTTTGCGATTTGCAACTACTACTATTACGGCTCTTCTACGGCTTCTACGGCTAATCTCAAGACCTACGCCATGATCCGTCTCAAGATCGTCATTTCGCGTCCAAAAAATATTATACCTAACAGCAAAACAAGTAAACCATAGATTAAAATATTTATGTGAAAGAAAGTAACAAATTGGATAAAGAATTTTAAATATTAGGTACATTTGTTCTTTAGTTCTACTTCTGATATAAGGATCACGATAGAAATAAAAATATAAAAAAAATAAACACAACCTAATGTTCATCAAATATAACAAATTTAAAAATTTATATATACTGTTTAATATTTTAAACAATAAGACGTCTCATAGCATTTAAACATAACTTAATAATATTCAAACAAGTAACAAATAATTATAAACAGCGATCACAATAGCGTCTCTAATGAGTTGTTACTACACTGAACGAAGAAGGAACAGTGACAAGAGGGTTGGCGCGCCATACTTTAAATCTATTAGCCTATAAGTGTCTAACAATATATTTATTTTATTATATGACATTTTCTTTTCAGAAGTAATACAGAAAATAAACAAAAGTTTAATTAAATCAAAGACCTAAACCAAACGCTACAAAAAAAAGTGATGCATTAGAAAACAATAATTGTTACAGAATAGAAAAACTGTCATAAACCCGATTTACGATAATTCATTGTAACATCATTAATTATTATTAGCTAAAATTAAAAGGAAATGATTTTATGCATTTTAGTGTGAAATCTCAGGAATCTTACCTTAATTCTCTTAGAGAAGATTAATGTTATACTCTTGTTACAACACAATTAAGAACCCAAGAACTTTGTTTACTGCTGGTAAAACGTATCATAGTGATCATAATTGATAAATGTAAAAAGAGATTAAATTAAATAATTAAAGTTCGAACTTTTATTTGCAATTTCCTTCATAATTATACTGGCGTGTAAAAAGTTGTAATCTTTATGTTATTCATGACATAATATTCTATTAAAAAAGAATAACTTGACAAAAACAAATATCCTTAAACCGGAATAGTCAGACGACTTATTTTTATTCATAACAAATGAAAGCTATCACAACATAACAAGGAAACATGATTAAAAGTTGAAGTCGATATATGTAAAAGATATCTCTTAGCGGTGAAAAGACACGCTTGCGTTCAAGTGGCCCTAAATTTTGTGAAATTACCACAATTACCACAGCCCATTAGGAGACTGCCTGAAGTGTCAAACTAGCAAGCTACTATGGCTCTCTTTTCAACCCTTATCAATCATACCATACCAGTCCAAAACTTTCCTGTTAAGGCAGGTCCTTCAAGTAGAACAACAACAGAGTTTCAGGAAGGTCAGATCCCTGTGGAAGCCCAGTATTGAAAGGACTCCGACAAGAAACTATTAATATTTCTTCATAGTTCCTGGGCCCTCATATAGCCAGAAATCCAGGCAATGAAACCAGGGAATACTGCATGGCTAGTAATATTACAAATAACGCAATATATATCTTATTCAGGTTACTGCAATTTTGGTGACTAAGTATAATATCAATTAAAAAATTCGCTCATTCGGCTAGCTATAATCCGTTTATCAATAAATCGTAGAAAAAAATATAACATACAAAAAGATAAGATTTTTATATAAATATGATATAAAATGATGCCCACGCCGACATCGTTCCATTAGGCCGAGTTCCGAGTCGGCCATTAGGCCGCAACACGACTATATATATATATTTATCAGTAACAACAAAAAAACATACAATGTTTCGTTTTGGGCTAATACTGTCAGCAATGACGGTAGCCATTATGGCTCATCCCACAAGGATGGTTCATCCCTCAGAGATGGCTCTTATTCTTGGAGAAGAAGAATTTGAGGACTACCTAGACAAATATCTAGCTGTAGAAGAAGAGCATTGGATTAATGCTACTTCCTCTCTTCGCAGTGGTAAGCATTTCTAAGATCAAAGTCGTAATAATATATATCATCAAGCTTGAAATGTTGTAATCAATTTACCTAATTTTGTAACTCCAGGGTGTACTCTGAGAGTTAACGGAGACCTTGGTCAACCGCAGCCTGTATATATCAGTAGAAGAACTAATAATTATTTAGCTGCAATTGGAAACTCTGGTCAGATTCGACTCAGCGCCGGAGAAGAAGTGATCGTTTCCTGCCCAAACAACCAAGCTATTCTCCATCCGAACATCGTATCTACAGTTCATACCGCTGTAATTATTTAATTTTCAAATTAGCAGTTATCAATCACATTTTTTTTAAACAAATCTGCTTCTGTAATCACTAATCGTATCTGGCTTACTGTCTCATGAATGATATCAAATCAATTGTAGTCGACAGTTATACATTCATAAAACAGAGTAGACATACATATAAGGACTCTATTTTAAATAACACAAAATATATTAAAAATATTCAATGTATTTTGCAGACTGCCAGGTGCGTTAGCAATAATTTATTTTCGGGAGCCGGATGGTTAAATGGTAACAGAGCTTTTGGTCAACTAACTTGTGCACGTCACCCTTTCTACCAAGCTCAGCAGACAAGTACAAGATGCTTCAACAACGGTGTTGTAATTCGGTATGCATTCATCTTTTCGACTGGAAATGACCATTTACTATATTGTAGTATATATATTCT